TCTCTCGCTGCAGGGCCACCCTTCCTCTCAATCAGCCGTTCTTGCTTCAGTTGGCTTTGGATGCCGAATTTCTAGATGTGTGGCTGGGAGTTTCGCTGGAGTGGGAGCTAAGCATCAAGTGTCCGTGCTAGTGGCTTCGGGGTTGTTTGGGCCGTAGCGGCTTTCAGTTTCGGACGGTAGAGGAAGCGCATTTGTGGTTTGCGAGTTGCAGACACTGCGCCAGGTTTGCCAGATGAATTGCCATGTTTGTTGCATCAGTTGTTTTGTTTCCGTAGGTGGGCGCATTGTGGCTTGGGATCCTTGCAGTTTGGAGCGTAGAGAATCCTGGAGCCGTGTTTGCAAGCTTTGATGGCAAACAATTGGTCCACAGAAGAATTAGATGTGACCGTTTCAAAGCGCATGTTTGCTCGCGATCAACTGTTCAACCCCCAAGACTGTGCCACTACGCGCGAAGGTTCAATCTGAGAGCGAGGGAAGGGTTGATGACGGGTCTGTGTGTTTGTTTGCTTGATTGTGTTGTTTGATAGTTTGTTTGTTTGTTTGCTTGTTTGTTTGCTTGGTTTGTTTGTTTGTTTGTTTGTTGCTTTGTGTGTGTGTGTTGGTGTGTGGGAAAACACCAAGTTTTGCATTGTTCACTTGGCTTTCAATGTCAAGATTTGATTTGCACCAATCGTTTTGTCGCTAGGCGGGGAGACGGCGCGGATTTCCATGCACTTTTGTATCGCTAGCGCTGTCCATTGACGGGTCGCAGATGATGATGCACATCTTAGGGTTCGAGTTCCAGGTGTGCCGTATTGATTTGCCATGGTTGTCACACACACACATAACAGAGTTGTCATGTGTCTGCAAGTGGGCTTACTGTGCCAGTGTTGTGGTTTTTTGCAATCTGGAGTTTAGCGACCTTTGTTGCCACAGCATTCTGATGAGCTTTGATCGCAATGAATTCACAGAAGAGCCAAAGGTGGGGATTGTCATAACTAAATATTTCTCGGCCCCTATGTTGCTTCCAATCAGGTCCGCCAAGTGCTGCTATTTATGGTGATGATAGGTCTTGCGTCTTGCGTTGTTCATTTCTTGCATGCATGTGTGCTCTGCTGGTGTGTGGGTCGGTTTGAGGTAGCATGTTAGTCTGAAGAGAAGGGGACACGAGTTTGCTTATCGTCGACTAACTTGCCCTATCCTGGAACACTGCTGTCGTGAACTCAATCATTATCGATCTGAAGTATCTAAGAATCTAAGAGGGGAATTTGTATTGCCCCCCCCCCCCCCTGTATCTGAGAGGGGAATCAGATTTGCCCCCCCCCCCCAAACATAAGGTGTTCTTCGCAGGTTGGAGGAGTTGGTGCAGGAAGTGGCTGACGGATCCCAATCATGCTGCAAATTTGTGTCTAACACAAAAAGCCTCAGGTTGGCCCTTCCGTTTTTTTTTCTTTCTCGAATCAACTATGATGCGCTTTGAAGGTTGGGGTGGTTGGGTGACGCTGCCCGTTTAGGTCATCGATAGCAGGCCCGCACCTCATTGGAAGAAGCTGTTGTTCTGATTGGAACCTAGTACATGATGCCCTTCCACACTGCTGAGCGTTCAGCTCTGTCCTGCGTAATTTTTGTTCGATTCGCCCTTTTTACCAAGTCTTTAAAGGGTGCGTCTGGGGATGGTGTGGGCGCTGTTTGTTTTCCAATTTGTTCATGGGATGTCACAGGTGGGATACATGTTGAAGCATTTGCGCAAAATTGCAGGGGTGGAAAGCATGAGGGCCCAGAGAAATTGTTCACAAAAGCAAGCCTGCTTGAGATGTTGCTGCTTCGGAGTTTGAAGCAGCGTTTGAGTGAGGGGCTCTGGACAAGCAAGCGCGTGGGGTATCGTGCAAGCTTCCGAATAAGTCCCACGAGTCTGTGAACATGGCTGGATTCTCATGTCAAATTCAGGAGTGTGTTTCAAGTGTTCAAGGCCGCAAGGCGCAGCTCGCATGGCCCTATTTCCACAGCCTTTGCATTGGGAGGAAACAGGAAAGTGAACGTGTTTCGTAGCCATGCTACTGAGCCGTTGAGGAAAGACTTGAAGTATGCCCAAATAGAGCCGAGTTGCTTTGCAAGTACAATTTGTTATTAGTTGGGCTTCCCAGCAGGCACTACTTGCATATGGTGACTGAAGAGAGCTTAGATGACCCCCTTGTGTGCAGAGGTGTGAGCTCTGCAAACTTCCCATTAGTTTCCTTTGCCAGTGGCAGCTCTCACATGTCCTATGCCTTTCAGCTACTACCAAAGTTATGCTGCCATGCCTCTGTGAGATTTTGGAAGGCGGTGTGAGTTTTTACTCCAAGCTCCGGGCTGGAGCTTTTGCTTCGAAGCTTTCGGATGCTCCCTGCGGGGAATTTGGGCGGAGCGCGCCGCCCGTCCGAAGTCCGCGCCACCGCCGCCCGGGTCGCTGGGCAGGCGCTGGCCGCCGCCCTCGCCGGGCACCGCAAGCTCCGGGACTTGGCCCTCTACGCCAACGGCTTCGGGGACGCCGGGGCCGAGGCGGGGGAATCGGAGTTCGGGGCCATGGTCGGGGGATGGGGGCGGAGGCGCGTGCGAGAGTTGCCCCCCGTGGCTCTGGGTGTTGGCTCGATGGTGGCAGCGTTGTTTTTTGGCGGAATTTAGCGATCTTTGTGGCCACATGATTTTGACAAGCTTTGATGGCAATGAATAGGTTTGACAGAAGAGCCAACTGTGGGGATGGTCAAATGTTTCGCTGCTCAGCTTGCAATTGCAATTGCGTCTGCCAAGCCTTTGTTGCTATTTATGGTGATGGCGTGGGTCTTGCTTTGCTTGTTCTCTTGCTTGTGTGTGCTGGTGGTTGTGGGTCGAGTTGAGGTAGCGAAACACCTGCAAGAGGTATGCAGGAGCCCTTGGCTTTGAGGTTAGTCCCAATCAATTGCCTTCTCCTGGAACACGTCTGACGTGAACACAAAGTGACTTCTTTGCTTTCAACCAAAGGCAGGCGTTTCTGGGCCTTCAAACGGAATTTTGCGACGTCCTGCGAATTTCAGTTGGCGCGACGTCCTGCTTCGCTTAAAGAATGCCCGAATGGATTTGCATGGCCCCTCTCCTCTTTTTCACTAGCCGTGCCTTGCTGACGGAACTGTTGTTCACATGGTGCTCGGGTTTGGAGAGTTCATAGACGGCCCTCGTTTGCTGTTTGGAGGCACCACACTACCTTTATTCCTGCGCCAGGTTCATGTTTGAATGACGCTGAAGCATGCCCCATGTCTTTTGGCTTCACTCTTTTCGCACGCTGCCTGAGGGGTTGCAAATCCAGTGGCATAGCAAGCAGACATTTGCTAGGCATGTGCAATTCGGAAGTTGGTGCTTGAGCTGTTGCCCAAAGCTCTCGAAGCTTTCCCGAGTCCAAAGTGGAGCTGTGTCTGGGGCCGGAACCCGTGGGTTCGAAGGGCTCGGTGGAGGCCGGGGGCGGAGCTCGGGGGCGGAGGCCGGGGGCTGGGGCCAGGCCCTGGGCGCGGCGCTGCAGCAGATGCCGCGGCTGCAGGATCTGCGGCTCCAGCAAAACCAGATCGGGGTCAAGGGTGCCCAGGCGGGGGGCGAGGGGGGAATGATACAACTCCCAAATCAGGAGTAAAGAGAAATTGACGATTCATGACACCCGCGAGATTTCAACATGTCAATCTGCTCCGTTGCAAGAAGATCATTGATTTGGTAGTTTTGCCGCGCCAGGCGGGGGTCGGTGAGCTCTGCTTTTGGCACAGAAGAATGGTTTGCCAGTTGTGGATGTGCCTTGTCACTTGCATCTGGAAAGGGCGATGTCAACATGGATTCTGTACGGTTTACGTAACGATGTCCAGCGCAGGCTTCTTGAAAGCAAGCGCCTGATGCTTGTTCAAACATCTAGCTGAGCTTGCCTAACTTCGTAGTCATTGCTTCCCAGGGCAAACAAGGCACAGCCTCAAGACCTGCGCCGAGCACCGTCCCCGCAGGCACTGGCCCGCGGCCTGGAGGGCACCACTGCCCTGGAGCTGCTGTGGCTTGTTCAGAACCAGATTGGCGATGCCGGCTGCCAGGCCTCCACGGTGGAGAGCACCGCTGAGCCATTTGAACCCCTCTCTTGCTGCCAGGGCCACCCTTCCGCTCCCCCCAAGCAGCCTGTCTTGCTTCAGTTGGCTTTGGATGCCGGAGTTCTAGATGTGTGGCTGAGAGTTTCGCTGGAGTTCAGCATCAAGTGTCCGTGCTAGTGGCTTCGGTGTTGTTTGGGCCCCTCGCTTCTCAGTTTCGGACGGTAGAGGAAGCGCATTTGTGATTTGCGAGTTGCAGCTGCGCCAGGTTTGCCAGATGAATTGCCATGTTTGTTGCATCAGTTGTTTTGTTTCCGTAGGAAAGGAGCGTAGAGAATCCTGTTGCCGTGTTTGCAAGCTTTGATGGCAAACAATTGGTCCACAGAAGAATTAGATGTGGCCGTTTCAAAGCACATGTTTGCTTGCAATCAACTGTTCAACCCCCAAGACTGTGCCACTACGCGCGAAGGTTCAATCTGAGAGCGAGGGAAGGGTTGATGACGGGTCTGTGTGTTTGTTTGCTTGGTTGTTTTGTTTGATAGTTTGTTTGTTTGTTTGCTTGTTTGTTTGCTTGGTTTGTTTGTTTGTTTGTTGCTTTGTGTGTGTGTTGGTGTGTGGGAAAACACCAAGTTTTGCATTGTTCACTTGGCTTTCAATGTCAAGATTTGATTTGCACCAATCGTTTTGTCGCTAGGCGGGGAGACGGCGCGGATTTCCATGCACTTTTGTATCGCTAGCGCTGTCCATTGACGGGTCGCAGATGATGATGCACATCTTAGGGTTCGAGTTCCAGGTGTGCCGTATTGATTTGCCATGGTTGTCACACACATACACAGAGTTGTCATGTGTCTGCAAGTGGGCTTACTGTGCCAGTGTTGTTGGTTTTTTGCAATCTTGATGAGCTTTGATCGCAATGAATTCACAGAATAGCTAAATATTTCTCGGCCCCTATGTTGCTTCCAATCAGGTCCGCCAAGTGCTGCTATTTATGGTGATGATAGGTCTTGCGTCTTGCGTTGTTCATGTCTTGCATGCATGTGTGCTCTGCTGGTGTGTGGGTCGGTTTGAGGTAGCATGTTAGTCTGAAGAGAAGGGGACACGAGTTTGCTTATCGTCGACTAACTTGCCCTATCCTGGAACACTGCTGTCTTGAACTCAATCATTCTCGATCTGAAGTATCTAAGAATCTAAGAGGGGGATTTGTATTGCTCCCCCCCTGTATCTGAGAGATCAGGCCCCCCCCCCCCCCAAACATAAGGTGTTCTTCGCAGGTTGGAGGAGTTGGTGCAGGAAGTGGCTGACGGATCCCAATCATGCTGCAAATTTGTGTCTAACACAAAAAGCCTCAGGTTGGCCCTTCCGTTTTTGTTTCTTTCTCGAATCAACTATGATGCGCTTTGAAGGTGGGGGTGGTTGGGTGACGCTGCCCGTTTAGGTCATCGATAGCAGGCCCGCACCTCATTGGATGAAGCTGTTGTTCTGTTTGGAACCTGGTACATGATGCCCTTCCAGACTGCTGAGCGTTCAGCTCTGTCCTGCGTAATTTGTTCGATTCGCCCTTTTTACCAAGTCTTTAAAGGGTGCGTCTGGGGATGGTGTGGGCGCTGTTTGCTTTCCAATTTGTTCATGGGATGTCACAGGTGGGATACATGTGGAAGCATTTGCGCAAAATTGCGGGGGTGGAAAGCATGAGGGCCCAGAGAAATTGTTCACAAAAGCATGCCTGCTTGAGATGTTGCTGCTTCGGAGTTTGAAACAGCGTTTGAGTGAGGGGCTCTGGACACGCAAGCACATGGGGTATCGTGCAAGCTTCCGAATATTTCCCACGAGTCTGTGAACATGGCTGGATTCTCATGTCAAATTCAGGAGTGTGTGTCAAGTGTTCAAGGCCGCAAGGCACAGCTCGCATGGCCCTATTTCCACAGCCTTTGCATTGGAAGGAAACAGGAAGGTGAACGTGTTTCGTAGCCATGCTACTGAGCCGATGAGGAAAGACTTGAAGTATGCCCAAATAGAGCCGAGTTGCTTTGCAAGTACAATTTGTTATTAGTTGGGCTTCCCAGCAGTCACTACTTGGACTGAAGAGAGCTTAGATGACCCCCTTGTGTGCAGAGGTGTGAGCTCTGCAAACTTCCCATTAGTTTCCTTTGCCAGTGGCAGCTCTCACATGTCCTATGCCTTTCAGCTACTACCAAAGTTATGCTGCCATGCCTCTGTGAGATTTTGGAAGGCGGTGTGAGTTTTTACTCCAAGCTCCGGGCTGGAGCTTTTGCTTCGAAGCTTTCGGATGCTCCCTGCGGGGAATTTGGGCGGAGCGCGCCGCCCGTCCGAAGTCCGCGCCACCGCCGCCCGGGTCGCTGGGCAGGCGCTGGCCGCCGCCCTCGCCGGGCACCGCAAGCTCCGGGACTTGGCCCTCTACGCCAACGGCTTCGGGGACGCCGGGGCCGAGGCGGGGGAATCGGAGTTCGGGGCCATGGTCGGGGGATGGGGGCGGAGGCGCGTGCGAGAGTTGCCCCCCGTGGCTCTGGGTGTGGGCTCCGGGTGGCAGCGTTGTTTTTTGGCAGTCAGCTTAGCGATCTTTGTCGCCGCATGATTTCGACAAGCCTTGACGGGAATGAATAGGCTTGACAGAAGAGCCAACTGTGGGGATGGTCAAAAGTCTCGTAGCCCAATTTATGGTGATGACGTGGGTCTTGTTTTGTTTGATTCTTGCCCGTGCCCTTGTTGTTTGTGGGTCGATTTGAGGTAGCAAGACACCTGCAAGAGGTGTGCAGGAGCCCTTGGCTGTGAGATGCTGTGAGGTTCATCTTCAAGTATCTGAGAGGGGAATCGTGCTTTCAAACAAAGGCATTTGCGCCTTGAAAGGGAGCATCACGCCCAATGGCTTGCTCCGGTCTTCAAGTTTCAACCCCCGCAGAAGGGCCGCCCAAGTGACAATCGCTGCCAGTTGTGTTGCTTCAAGCACAATGTCTGTCTTGAATGCCCAGTCGTTGCTCATTTCCGCCTCAGCCTCTCCGGTCTCCGCTCGTCATTCATGAACTGTGCAAACTCTCTGGATGCGTGCCCCCTCAGTTTCAATTAGAGGCAGATCTCCAGCAGCGCCCGGCTTGAGCCCCATCTTGGCCAGCTTATCCCAGCAGATTCGCCTGCGTAATCACCTTGAATAGGTGCAGCTTTTCGCAAGCTTGTCGTGCCATTGTCGCTCCTCACTCCAGCACTCCAGGACCCGCGACTCAGTACAACTTCGCTCTGCGGGTCCTCCCCGCACTCCTTCTCTTCCACCGCGCCTCAGACCAGCAGTCTTGCAACGTCGGCAAAGCTCCTGATGCAGTCGTCGAATCCCTTGGCGCTTCCTTTCGTCCTTGCTTAGCCTTCGCCAGGATGCCCTCAGAGACTTGCTGATGTTCCGGGCAGGCGCGTTCTCAAAGTTCCACTCGATGTCGAATCCCTCGCCTGGCGCGGCCTCGTGCATCTTGGCAACCTGCGCAGCAGCGCGCCTTTCTCATCCTTGCCCTCGCAGTCGCGGCATTTGCCTGTCTAGCATCCCGCGAAGAAGTCGCATGGCCATTTCTCCTTGCCTCCAGCATCCCGGTTTTGTTGGGCCCACCTTCGAACTCATGGCACGAGGAGCGGGCTTGAGGAAGTTGCAGTGCTGGACAGCCGAGTAGGGCGCAAGTGGTTGCGACTCTTGTCACTGAGACATGTTCCCGCGCGTTGCACTTCTGAATTGTTGTGCTCCGCGCCGAAGCAGTTTCCGAAGGCTCGAGCGCAGCCCCAGTAGAGCCACGCTTTTGTGGAAATCGTTAAAGCCTGCTTGTGAAGCGTACACACCTGCTTGCTGTCCCAAGCGCAGCCAAACAGTACTTCATCTCAGCCCCTTCGCAGCCATCGTCCCAAGTTGTCGGAAAAATCGTGAAAACAACATCTTTGCATGATGGCATTGCAAGAGAAGCAGGAAATATTTTCGGACTCTCCGGCACGCGCAGGCCCTGGCCAACGGCCTGCAGTACCACACCAGACTGGAAGATGTGAGGCTCTTCGAGAACTCCATTGGCGAGGTCGGCTGCAAGGCGATCCCGGGCCTTTGAGCACTGATGTGCCCGCCCTTGTAACCGGGTCCCTGTCAATTGCCTTCGCGTTCGATAGTTCTTCAATTCTGGATGGTTCAATGTGTCTTTGGAGTACGGATGCGACCAATAGGATCACTATACCAGTTGAGATCCCCTGCAACCAGTTGGCATGAGGCTATGACATTTTGACGTCAACAGTCTTCACTCCTGTCAGGCTCTGGCAAATGTCCTGAGCAAGCAGAAGAAGCTGCGCGTGCTGATCCTTCGCACCAATCACCTGGGAGACGCTGGAGCTGAGGCGGCTTTGCGGCCAGCTCCACGTTTGCGGACAGTTTGGGTGCGGCGGGGAGGGACCTGGGAGTTGGGAAGAGTGAAAGCGACCTGCGGCAGGCCTTGGGCAACGCGCTGGCGCAGATGTCCTCTCTGCAGGAGCTCAGGCTGCAGCAGAACGCCATCACAGATGCGGGTGCTCAGGCGGGCACATTGGGCCCCGCGTGCGTCGCAGCTCCCCCATGTCTGCTTCAATTTTTGGCCGTGCCTTTCTGAGCACAGGCGCGCAGTGAAGTCTAACAAAATAGTTGCACTGTCATTGCGTTGATACTTGCAGCCCGTTGTGGCGGCAAGTGGGACTCTGATGGGACTAGGTTGTTTTGCGGAGCGTCATTATGAAGCTGTAGGAATGTTATTTAAGAGCTTGAAGGGGTTCCCTTAGACGCGCAAACGTAGTCTCCGAAGAATGATTTAAAAGCGATGCGGCGAGTGCTGAATATCACCCTTTGGCAATGTCAGGGGCTTTGCATCTCCTTTTCTCACGCAGCATGCACACTCGTCTGGCAGCCATCAGCTATGGACTGTCATTGGTGGATGGTCACTGCCGGGACATCGGTTCATCCGCATTTGTTTCAAAACAACAACTAATGGCTCAGAGTCGGGACCATCACTTTGCCAAAATGAGTCCGTGGCTGGCATGTGCACGAAACCGCTGAAAGCGCTGAAAGCGCTGAAAGCGCAGCGGCCGAATTGCAAGCCGCGTGCCAGGCCTTGGCCAGAAACCTGCAGCACACCGCCCTGCGGGAGCTTTGGCTCTCTGAGAACGAGATCGGCGACCTCGGCTGCCAGGCACGAGTCGAGTTTTGGGCTCGAGGCGCGGTTCCACCTGGGCTCGAGGCACTTCCAGGACGGCCCAAAGGGCCACGTCTGTTCCACAACGTGTGTGAAGTTCGGGATGTTCCAGCTTGATTACACGGTGCCTGCAGCTTGGGGGCAGAGGTGCAGTTTAGCTGTGATTGGGGTTACCCAGGTGTCGGGGGAATATCGGGGCGGTGTTGCAAATTGGTGGGACTCGAGGGTGAACGGGGGCTGTTTTGGAGTTGCAGGTTTGCGGGGGACGGTTGCTTGGGTCGGGGCGATGTTGAAGATGGCTGGGACGCCCTTCTCGCTTGACAGGTCCTTCTTTCCGGCCGGAGGCTTGCTGGGGTTCCCGTAGAAACATGACCCAAAGATTTGCTTCGATTCAAGTAGGTGTTCGCCTCTGTGCCTTTTTGCCAACGCCTCGATTTCGGCGGCCAGTTCTTGCGCCAGGCCTTGGCTGCGGCCATCGAGCAGCTGCCGTTACACACATTGCACTTGGAGAAGAACTCCATTGGCGAGTCTGGCGCGCACGTGCGCTGCTCAGATTGCGCTGCGCCAGTGCGTTCGGTACGGGATTTGGCTCCAGCCAGTGAGATGACTTGCCCCCTTCAAATTTCAAGCTTGCTCGTGGACGCGCGTAAGAAATTTGAGCGAGGGGGTTGGAGGGAACTTCACTGCAGCAGTGCCTGAGCCGCCGAGGCACTGGTGAAAGGACTGCAGCACAAGTCCCTGGAATCTGTACACATCCAAGACAATTGCATCGATGGGCCAGGCTGTGAGGCCATCGAATCGTTGCGAGAGCTCGAAAGCACGCTTGCGTTTGGCGTGCCAGTCCCCAAGTTGGTGCTGCTCATTTGCCGGTAGAAAGGTGTCCAAGCAGCACGCAGATTGCAGAGAAATGTAATTCCTAACCTCGGCCTGTTCAACTCATGCTGAAGAGTTGCTAAGGCCTGTGTTCATTTGTGTGCGCGTTCCAAGCCCCACCTGGCCAGGCTTTGCAGCAGCTGCAGATCAAAGATTTGCGATGTGAAGATCAGCAAGACAGGTGCTGGTCGGCATGTGTGGCGTCGGGATGCAGTCCATGAGACGGCTCTTCAGTCCCACAATCATAGTCTGTGAGACGTTCCAGCGATTGAGGTATCTCTTGGACGGGCAGCGTGCACATGCATAAAAGTGCATTCAGCGCTTACGAGAATTTTTCAGCATTCTGTGGTTTGCCAGCTCTCCGCAGCTCTCCGCATGCCCAAAGTCAGGGACACAATAGCTAGAAGGCAGATGCCATTTGCAGCTGCGTTGCAAGTGGTTTGCTGGCAATCCGCAACTCAGTCTCACCCATTCTCCAATTCAAAAGGCTAATTTGCTCACCCGACTCTTGGGAGGCCCGTCTGGCAATGCCCCGGCCTGCGCAAGAGCAGCTTGCTTGAGGGCTGGTTTGCCTGCGTGGAGGTTGCATTGTCGCTCATCAGGATTGCTTTTACGCATGCGGATTGACAGCGCAAGGCTGACACTGCACTTAGAAAACTTGAAGCACAGACCAGCTGTCAAGAGCAATCACCGAAAGCTGACATTGATCAGGCACAAAAAGAGAGAAGAGCATGAAAGAGCTTGGCGTCGGGAAGGAATCTGACATACTCAGCTGCAAGCAATTCGAGGATTTTGCGATCCTCGTCACTGATTCACCAAGCCTTACAGATAGCGCGGGCGATTGCGTTTGATTTCCCTTGGCGAGTGCCCAAGCTGTACAAGTTGCGGCGTCGAGTCGTCGGCTTTGGCTCAGAAGGGCTCCTAAGGGAGCGGCGGGACCGATGGACGAGCGATGACCGAGAGGCCAGTGGCGAACTTTGCCGAAGTCGAACACATGTCAGACGCACGGCCATGGGTTTTCGAAGGGTCGGCATTGAAAAAGGTCGTGACGTTTTCATAGATGTTGGGCAATTGGGTCTCCAGAGTTGGGCCAACCTTGTTCCCATTAGACAACTTGGCTTTGAAGGCCGGGATCTGGTTGTTCAAACATTCTTTTTAGGCCTGGGGGTGTTTCCAACACGTGAAACAGGGGCTCAACCCACTGAGATTCGAAGACTGATTCAGCAGGCGGGCGAGTTTCAGCCGGCTGGGCCGGTTGTCTTCTTTGCAGCTCTTTGGCGTACGTAACGTTTGATTATTTACTGTTGGCGATTCCCGCACAGCCATCCCGAAGCTCGACGTTGAGTTCGACGTCGGTTCGATGTTTCTTGTGGTGTTCAACGAAGAGAGCTGCAACCATACATGATCCAGTCATCAAAAAGTCATCCGATCACATCCGATCAGTCGCTTTTGCTCGGCACTTTGAATAAAACCGAACGCACCTCCAGGAAAACCAAGAAGCATTTGTGTGCCGGAAAGATAATTTGTATAGTTGAACATGAACTTCCTGCTTGCAACTTCATGGTCAAAGGGCCTTGATGTTTGAAGCTGTCTGTGATGTGCAAAGATCCTCATGCACTCCCATTCTACAAGCGTTGCAAGGCTTCCTAGGGGGACGGAAGCCCACAAGAAGACAATCTTCCAGCGAGTGGATACCGGTTTCAGAGAGTCCGATCGATCGGGTTTCCATGATCAGGCAGTTTCACCCACCGCGGGGAAAATCGGGAAGGTTCTTACCTTGGGGTCCTCATGTCCAGCTCGAATGAACTGAGGGAGAAAACCCAAAAGGAATTGGACTCCAAAATGGAAGCGCCTCGACCTTCAAATCTTCCCTTGCGTTTCTGGCCCCCTATGTTTGGAAGCGCCAACACGTAGGGTGGCTTTGACGTTCAAACAATTGGTTGCAAATGCTGAATCCCTTTTTCTCCACAAACAGAGAGGTGAGAGGCGCATCATCTCAATGCTGCGCACGCGCGCAGTGGCGCACTTCCAAAGTAGGCCCTGATCTATACCAGTACCTTGGAACAATTGAAAGAGACGCACTGAAAGTCGAGCCCTTGAGATCGAGCCCTGCCTGACTCAGCCGGCCCTGAGGCCATGCGCCGTGGGTCAGGACTTCTTTATCACGTTGAAGGGGATTCCCTTACGAAAAGTGGCTCCGAGAACCAGCTTCCAGAACCATGCAGGGAAAATGAAGAAGTGTCTATCCGCTTTGGGTTTGGTTGACATTTGTTGCTGCTTGACACCTTGACACCCGGTAGTTGGAGCCAGTGGCTGACCTTCGTACCCCCCAAGTCTGGCCAGGTTTCTGTGGCGAAGAGCTTTGAAGGGAAGTGAACACTTGTCAGTTGGTGACACATGGTGAAACCATCATTGAAACGACTTAGCCCGGGAGAAGCGCAAACAAGAAGGCTGCAAGGGCGTCGACAAGGCCGTGGACCCTCCCCACGCTTCGACCCGGATTCCAAAGGTCAAATATTTACGGGAAAAAAACAAAACGAGACACACCTACCCCTCCCACGTATTATGGAAGCTTGTCCTGGATTGAATCATGTTCCTCCCAAGTGGACTGGGAGGTATGAGGGTTCTGAGAGCTGTGAATCGCAGCTGTTTGTCATTCGCCGGTTGTGCCACAGGCACCGAAGGGCATGGCCGGCTGCTCAGCTCCTTTCTTGCGACACGGACGGAGCTGAGAGATGACGCTAGCAAACCCTAAGGCTGCAGAAAACCTTCAGCTACGTATCTTACAACTTCAGTGTTTGGTAGATGTTTTGAAGTTTTGAGCCAGGGCCCAACAAGTTTCATTGTCAACTCGTCAGGTCACACCATTCCGCGATTGAATTGGGGAAGAAGGCCCGTTTCATCCAAACAAGCAAGTTTCCCCAAGCTGGACCCCAACGGTTTCACCAGCCAATCAGCCAATCTAAACAGCTGTGCGCAAAGGAGATCACGACCAGTCCTTGGGTTCGCCGATCATTTCTAAGAACTACCTGCGTCACAACAGTTGTGAAGTCCGGGCCGAAGGTTCGCGCTTGGTGCGCGACCCGCTGAAAATGGAATCACCCCGGTTCTCAGTTTCTGTCGGGCCCGCTGGTTGCAGCTGAGCTTAGGTTGTGTGTGTGTGAGTGTCGTTTGTCGCGCTGTTAGCTGTTCGGTGCCTGGCCTTTTTCGAGATATATAAGTCTCGAAGTAGCGTAGGAAGAGCTGCAAGATCCAAGCGAGCAGTGCAAGAGGATGGTCGCTTGAGAGTTGAACATGAGATCTCCAAAATGGGTGGTTTCCCTTTGAATTTCCGTCAAACAAGTGCACAATAGGGTTTCCTCAATCTTCCTGAGAAAGACAAACTCGCATTTTGCTGCTTGAGCTGTGTGGGGGCGTCTGTTTTTGGGAACCTCCATTCGTTCGTTTTTGAAGGGAAACCAAAAAGAAGCCGATCATGTCACAGCCTTCGGCCTTGGGCTTCAAATCAGACACAATGCTGATGTCATTCGAGCATTTTGCTCGAGATTTTCGAGCAAGGGACCAGTGGGCAACTCGGAAGGTGCGCCGTGAGCCCATCACCCTGGCCGCTTCTGGTGACCAACATCATGTTTGGAGGGACCTGCGCTTTTTGGAGGGGGTGGTTTCTTGGGTTGCCCGACGCAGTCGGCCGAGTTCTGCTTGAGGCCAGGGGTCCGCCTGTCGGGCCATGCCGCTGGAGCCTACGTACCGGAGAATGAGGATGCGCCCCCCATTTTGTGGACGCTTTGGAACTTTTGAACGTTTGAACTTCAAAGAGAGACACCCACCAAGAAAACGTGCCGATTTAGTGATGACCTACTTGTGGAACAAGCCAACCCATGAAAGAGCCGTTACTTTGCTCGGGGTGAACTCCTGTCGGGGCATTGTGCTACAGCGTGCCATGCTGGATACATAATTAATGGACTGTCAAGTCATATCAAGTCGGTTTCCACACATAGACAGCTTCCATTGAAAAGACACCAAAATGTCTGAACTGACGGGCTGTAGACTTTTTGAGTCTTCAACTCGGGTAGTGTCTAGGTTTCGTTTTCGTTGAATCAGTTTTCGTTGTTTCCCGAACCCTAGACCTAGAATTGGTTTGTTTTCGATGCTCACGTTCGTTCGACTTGCCGCGCCCCCTCTCCAGTTCGGCTGAAGAGGTTGCACGAAATTTGAAGAGGGAGACCTCAGAGACAGAAAATTGCTGACAAGCAGGTCAGCGTTTCTTGCTGGTTTTGTTTTCTTGCTGGTTTTCTTGCTGGTTTGTTTTTCTTGCTGGTTTTGTTACCCCCCCTCTCAATATTTTCACTATCGGCAAAAGGGGATAACGCCTGCTTTCTTATCGACTTTTGGGATCCAACCTACCCCTAAACCACGGAGATGACAATTTTCATCCTGAGCATCCTGAGCCTTGCTCGAGGACACGAGGGCCTGAAGTCGTCGGATAGCCGCTGAAGACCTGCTTCGGGACGCACCTCCTGGCAAATGTGGTGCCATATCCGCAGTGAATGGGTGCGACCCTCAGCATGCCCTACACTAGGATTATGACCACGGCGCACAGGAGACCGTGAAAATGGAGCGTCATGATCCTATCCGACTTGCAAACCGACGTGTTGTTCTTCTCTTTGAGGACGTTTCCCTGCAAACGGCTGATGTTATTGGTTGGGATGCAATGGCCTTTTCGTCATTTTGTTGTCGGGTCTTTCTTTAGACGCTCAACCTTTACATTCAGGTATCTCTCCAGCTACAGCCATTGGCGACTAGCTTTGCTGTTTCCCAGACCCTGTCTCAGTTTCTGCCCGAAACCCCAGCCCCATGTCTTGGCAAAAAAGCAACACGTTGAACTGACTTCCAGCCTTGTGCGGGAAGTTGGCTGTGGTTTTAATCATGGACATGAATTCTGGGATTGCTTACTAACCACTGAGAGAGAGCTGGGTGGGGTTCGCTTCCTCCCCACACCCAAATGGGCCCACTCCCTGCGCGCAGCTGGCGGAGATGGCCGAATGCTTTAAGGCGGGGCCCATGAAATGGCAACGGTTGCCCTCAGGTTTCCCCCTCCACCAGTTTCAGTTACGCGGCTTCAAAAGTGCGCCCGTCGCAAGGGGCGCCGAGATCACCCACGAAGGGATGCGGTGAAATGTTGGTTGATTACAGTCGCGCGTTGAGGCTTTTCGGCCATGGTAACACGGCTGCCTTTGTTGTCCTTCAAAAGTTTAGGGCAATCAGATCCGAAGATTCGACAATCTCAGTTGGTTTTGCAGTTGTTCTGCTAAGACGCACGGCAATGAGCTGGTGTACCCCCCCTGGTGAGAA